CGTGGCTGTCGAACGAGTGCCTCGACGAACGTCGAACATCGCTTATACTGCGCGATTATAGTCTTGTAGGGAATACATCGAACAACGCGTTTTCGATTATACGCGAATTTCCAATCAATTTACGTACTTAGCACATATGTTCGTGTGAATTAAGTGCCGCTGCATAAAGAAGCTAGTACACCGAATTCAGGTACACAACGGACAGCTCAGCTTGGGAGAAATATCAAACGAGAAGCGTGTCTCTGCGAGCTACACAGCTACAGTTTCACGGTATGTGTATGCGTGAATAATATGTACGTACACAATCGAATGATTGAGTTAATTGAAAATGGAGGAGAGCCTACGTATAGCTAATTAGATGAATTACTGCAACAATTTCGTTTTATCTTATCCTAAGTTTATTTTTCTTGTTATAAGATGTCTTATAGCTATGAAACAACAACAAATTAGTTTTTTTACTGTTGTCTCCCCGAGACATATACATATTCTATCCTTTTCTGGAAAAACACTGTCTCTTAGTAAACAACTAAGTCTTCACACACGATCTACTTCGTTTGTCATTATTCTAACGACAATATACGACAATTGACACGCAGTGCAGATGATCAGACTTCAGTTTTCCGTAAAACCGGGAGATGGTTCTCACTACGCGTGGTTCGACAGAACACTGTATACATATACATATATGTTTCGACTGATATGTAAGATCATACTTTTTCCTCTGGCGTTTACAGACATAAATTTGGAGAAATTTGAATTCTGAGAAAAATAAGTTTGATAATTAATTAGTAAATTTATGTATAAAATTTTTGGAAATTTTAGCTCCTCTTTTTACGAGAGAAAATAGGCTAATTTATAAACGTATCGAAAGTAGAATTTAACAGACATAAATTTGGTAAAAATTTCAATTCTGAGAAAAGTATACCGAGTGTGTCACGTAATATCTCTTCAAAACTGTTAGAGATAGAAAGAAATTTCGGAAGGCAAAATTAAACGATATTATGTGTTCCTCACTCCTGCATTTTTCCGCACCGATGTGCTTGCAAAGTGCTATTGCACTCTTTTTTTTTTTTTAACGAAACTATATAATTGTCCTTACATAAATTGATCCCACGAGTAATTCTGCGTATACAAACATCAGTTTTGAACTTTCTTAGTAAGACATAATTATAAACACTCTCTTATCTGCTTTTCCCTATTTATGTTTCGTCACGGTCTTTATCGTGTTCGTAAATAACAAATTCCTTTACCATCGCGGATATCCAAGTGAAACCTCGAAATCAGTCTCTTTCAACCTTTCGAACACCTTTTATAATTGAAAAACTTGAAGCATGAACAGTGCCGAGCAGATAGAAGAGTGCTTAAAGGTATGTGTTATTGAAAACGGTGGAAATATTTCGTGAATTATTTAGCTTTTCGATCATCCAGCTCTAATAATTTTGTACTCGAAATATTTCAAAGAGTTTGGTTTATGCAAGAAAATCGTTTAGTTTCGTTTAAAAAGTGCAGAGAACTGCAGAAATTTACAGTATGCACCTCAAAATTTTTTTCTATTGCCAAACATTTTAAAAATGTTTCTTTAAACGACAAACTGTAACTATTAGTATCAAGTATAATATAGTATACCATTTGACTTTTCTAGCGTTAATTATAGATAGCAATGAAATATTAAATTAAGTTTCAACCACTCAAAAATAATTAAATTTCTAATTTTTAGTCATTTGTGAGAACTCTGTATATCT